GTTTTGATTATTATGTGTCAGGGGGACTTGTTTTTGTGATCAAGTCTGTTTGCCGTCCTGTAAGCTTCTTGTACTTTCAGAGGCATATCCTTCTGTCGGTTGGGGAAGTTTTCTTCTATGATTTTGTTGAATATGTTTTCTGTACCTTTGAGCAGTGTTTCTTCACCTTCTTCTACACCTATTATTCTTAGGTTTGGTCTTTTCACGGTGTCCCATATTTCCTGGATATTTTGTGTTAGGGATTTGTTGGACTTGAGGTTTTCTTTGGTTGATGAATGTATATCCTCTAGCGAGTCTTCAATAGCTGAGATTCTCTCTTCTGTCTCTTGGATTCTATTAGTTATACTCACATCTTTAGTTCCTGATCGTTTATCCAGTCTTTCCATTTCCAGCATCGCCTCATTCTGTGTTTTCTTTATTGTGTCTAATTCAGCTTTCATGCTTTGAACTGTTTGAATTGTTTCCTTCACTTGTTTGGCTGTTTTATCTTGGGTTTCTTTAGATTCTTTAAGAAATTTGTTTATTTCTTGAATTTTTTGGTTTGTCTTTTCCTCCATATCATGTAATTTTTTGCTTACTTTTTCTTCTATTTCTTTAAGGTGTTTCCTCTTTGAAGGTCTCTATCATCTTGCTGAGATAATTTTTGAGGTCCATCTCTTCTTCGTGCACTGTGTTGGGCTTTTTAGATCTTGCTGGAGTTGAGTCCCTAGATTCTGGTGGTGTCATATTGGTCTTTCTGTTGTTGAGTGAGTTCTTATTCTGTCTTCTTCCCATATCTTTTTCCAGTGAGTGCAGGTGGGGTCTCTCTATCTCCTCTTGTTACGCAGTAGTGTGTGTGAACCAGGATTTCAATGTTCGAAACTCTGGATGGTCTTGCCTCTCCTGGTAGTCTCCTCACTCTGAAGGACTTAGGCCTCCATAGGGGTCAGGTGGGGGGGGGGTTTCCAGGCTCTGGAGGTTCCTCACTGCCTGGGCAGGTCTACCTCAAGCAGGAGCAGGCCCAGGGAGATCGGGGTGGATGGGGCTTTGAAAGGGAGTTGGGTAAGAGTGGCGGATCACTCACCTCCCTGCAGATCGGTCGGCGGAAAGGGAAGGAAGAGTGGCCTGTACCCAGATTCAGGGAGCTCCTCCCTGCCTGGGCATGTCTACTTCAAGCAGGCACAAGCCTGGGGAGATCTGGGTGAACGGCGCTTTAGACAGGAGTTGGGTAAGAGCAGGGAGTCACTCACCTCGTTGTGATCAGTCGGTGGAAAGGGAAGGAAGAGTGGCCTGTAAGCGGATTCAGGGAGCTCCTCCCTGCCTGGGCATGTCTACTTCAAGCAGGCACAAGCCTGGGGAGATCTGGGTGAATGGCACTTTGGACAGGAGTTGGGTAAAAGCAGGGGGTCACTCACCTAGTTGCTAGGTGGGTCGGAGGAAAGCTACATCTGGGCTTCTTTCTCTTTTTCTGTGTATCTTTTCTTTCCTTCATTATTTCTAGTTACTATTACTTGTTTTTACTTCTAAGATACATGCATGTACCACAAGTTTTTCTGGGCAAACATTTTTTTTTTATTCTAACAACCAGAGATTTACCTAGGAAGGTCTCTAGGCATAGGAGACCTCACCTCTGGGGTGCCAAATGAATTTACCATGATGGAGAGAATAAACAGCTTCTCCCAATTGGCTGAACAAGCAAATGGAAGGACCCCACATGATGTCACCTGCTGGCTAAATAGAGTGGATCAGCACAGCCTAGATAAGACAAGAACCTTGAGTGAACCTATTCACTTGTGTCTACTACCTGGGGGATTACGGTGGACACTATATTTTCTGGCAAATAGAACATGGGCTGTAAAGTCTGGTTTGGGATCGATCAATAGCAAGGCAAACAATCATCACATCCCTAGGGAAGGGTTGTCACCAGGAACATGGAGGCAAGAATACCAATATCAAGGGCCTTAACCTCAAACTTCCCTAAAGCAATGGTGTGGGGTATAGAGGAAAGGTAATCAGAGATCACGACCAGGCAAGTCAGCCCTAAGCTGCCCCCTTAACCTAGAAATACCACAAACCACAAAGCTATAGTCCTGTAACTGCCCTACATCAGATGTAGCTTAGAAAGGTAATATAAGGTTAGTTGTTCACTGTAGGAGGCAAACAATTTAATGGTACATATCTATTATCATATATTGAACAATAACAACCATAACTACCTCAACTTGGACATGTACTGGGAACAGGTATGATCGTCCCTAGCTCTCTCCACGAAGTCTACTTTCATCTCTAACAAAACTGTGAAAAAGAAACAAGGTGGGGACTCATCTGAGGGTCAGGCATAGCCAGCAGCATAGCCAGCAGCACAGCCCTGAGACCCAATGGTCACATTTATGAGCACATAGACAGAGAGTCAGACCACAACGTAAGCCCCTTCCGATGCAGAACTACCCAAACACTAGGTGTTACAAAGCCTTGATCTCCAGCAAGCCAGCCATCCCTGGGAGACCGGCCTTGTGTAGAATGCAGAAAGCCTGTACATGCTTCAAACGTGGAAGCGTGTTTATCATCTATAGCCGTTTCCACAGCCAAAACATGACTGTGCCCAAAAGCTTTCTTAGCATACAGATACTAAACACGATTCTTCAGGGGATGGGAGCAGGCAAGAAGAGGGTCTGACAGTAGCGGAAGGTTTCTTTATCCTTCTGTATTTTTATGGTGTGTGTGTGTGTGTGTGTGTGTGTGTGTGTGTGTGTGTGTGTGTAGAGGTCAGAGGACAAGTCTTGGGAACTGGTTCTTGCCTTTCCCTTATTGAAGCAGGGTCTCTCTTTTTCTGCTGCCACTCTGTAAACTCCATGGTAGTTGTCCCAAATTTCTGGGTAATTGTTCTCTCCTACCATATGAATTCTGGATTACAGATGCAGGCCACATCTGTTTTTTTACTTGTGTTTCAGGAACCAAACTAGGGCCATCAGGCTTGGGTGGCCATCATCCTGGCCCTGGAAGGTTTCTTTAAGAGAATCCTCATGGCCCTTCGGCAGCCTCACACACACAGCTATTGTTTCTTAGCAATAGATTAGAATACCATCTGGCATGACTGGAGTCAGAAAAGTTATTAGCTGACAGGACATCAGTCTCCACTTCCGGGTTGTGTCATCTTGTGATCCTCTTGTAGTCTCTTCCCAGCAGCTATCAGTCTGTGTTGAAGGAGATACTCAGCGAACTGGCCTGTCACCATGAACTGGAAAAAGACATGAACATGCCCCTGTCTAAGCTAATGGAGGGCGAAAACAGGAAGAAGCTGGGACTCTTGTAAGTAACTGATGAGGGCAGCTGGCCAGTGTGTTCCAGGAAAGCAGATGTGGCAACAGGCCAAGTATAAACACTATGACCTGAGGAAAAGACCTGAACTAGGGTCGGGCTGGAGCCCTGAGTCAGGAAGCAAGCCCAGGCCAGACACAAGGACCTGGGTAACACCCAAGAATCAGATGCACACAAGATCCCGTTGCCAGGCCCAAAGCTCACAAGGAAGGAAACCACAAGGGTGTGGGCACAAAAGAGAAGCAAAGGCAAGCAAGTCTTTGATTTGTACGTTGACATGAGCCCAGGTAAAAGGCCTTAATCAAGGCAGAAAGTGGTGCTCGGTCTGTCTTTAAAGATAAAACACATTGGCTAAGCCTGCTTAAAATTTTTCTACCAGGACTGATTTAATGTCTTTTTCCCCCAGATATCAGTGTCATTTCTATTTGGTTGGATCTAGCAATATGAATGGTTTTGTGTTGTTTTGAGTTTCAAGGGCTTTTGCGTGGTTCTGGTCAGTTCATGGACAATGCTATTTTTCTAAGCCATGTCCAGATGTAACCCCCCATGGGATTCAGATAAACTATAGAGAAGCAGGCTGCAGGAACTTAACTCATATAAGCTTCCGTGGCACCTGGACCTCCATGTCTGTTCCTGGCCCCAACATGAGCTTCACTGGATTCAGTTTGAAAGATCAGCTTAAGTAGCCATACTGATCAGTTACAGGCCACTTGGAAAGAACTGAGTAGATGCCATGTGACATCCCTTAATTCTTGAGAGCACCAACCAGAAGGCAATCTGGGTCAGATAACAGAGCCCTCCTTCTGGTTTCCCCCAGTAAAAGACTCCACATCCTCTAAGCACACTACACTATTTATTGTGATACACAAACATGGGTTAAACTTGACTTTTGAAGATTATTTACATTTCTTTCAGGTTGAAGAAAAATTTTAGCAAATACAGAGACACAATTATGTGGATTATGGAAAAATGTGAAAGTAAGCACCCTTCTACCAGTCTCTATCCATGTCTGGCCTTTGTTTGCCTACTTGCTTGCTCTCAGCTATGTTTCTCCTCTCTAATACTACTCAGGAGCCCCCTCCCGCTGCCTAGGGAATGGTGCCACTTACAATGGCCCATGTCTTCCTACAGCAATTAACAATCAAGGCAATTCCCATAATCAAGACTGACCCACAGACATGCCCACTGACCAACCTGATCTAGATAATTCCTGATTAAAACTCTATTTCCATGTGATCCTGAGTTGTGTCAAGTTGACAGTTAAAACTAACCAGCACAACTTCTAATTTGAAAATGAAATAATAATAAGGCTGGGGTCACTGTAATGCACCACCATCATGCCTGCCTACACCCTCTGGATCCCTGACGCCTAAACTGTTTGAGCAGTCTATACAGAAAAGCAATGGTTTTAATTGATGAGTGGCTTCCCCTTCGTGGTCTTAATATGGGCAGTTCCAAGGAAACCTCTAGGCACCTTTGAGATGTTATCCACTTACTTCCTGAGTCTGGCCTATTGTCCTGTATTACTTACTGATAAACCTCCCCACATTTCTGAACACTCTAATTTCCAAGCTAAGGTTGGAAATTGTACAGGCAGCTCTGCAAACAGCTCTGTGCTTGTTATAAAGCCCTGCTGCCATTGTCTTGAAATTCTTTGTGATTTCAGAACAAGGGCCCTTGTGTTTTTATTTTGCATCATTAAATGAGATAGCATCTACTATCCAGAACCATCTATTCCAAAAAAGGCACACAGTAGTTGACGGTAGTAATGCACACCTTTAATCCCAACAGTCAGGAGACAGGGCCAGGTAGATCTCTGAGTTCGAGGCCAATCTGGTCTACAGAGTGAGTTCCAGGACAGCCAGAGCCACACATGAGGGCTTGTTTAACCAACCTCCCCTGACCCAGATGCTAACGAAGCCGGGGTCCTAATCCCCACCAAGAGTGGTGCCATGTGCAGCAGGTCCTCACTGTGGCTCCTAGTACCATGTTCAGCTCACCAAGAAGCATGGGGAGGGAGTTTGCCCCTCTAGCTCTACTGTTATAAAAAGACAAAAAGATTAATATAGAAATGTGTTTCCATGCAAACTAGGTTAAAATGCTCTTTTAGAAGCACAATAAGAAAATAATGTTTCAAAATCCTGCTTTTTGTACAAAGTAAACCAAATATGCAAAAATGTTTGGAGACTGTGTAGAATATTTTTAAAGATTATTAACCTTTTAGAAACTGCCAAAACTGAATAGTAAGAAATAAACTATGGGGCTTAGATGTGTCTCAGTCAGCTGAATGCTTGCCTTGTACGTACTAGGTCCTAGGTTCAAACTCCAGCACAGCATAAACTGGGAGCTGAGGCATATGCCTATAATTCCAGCACTCCAGAGGTAGTCACAGGGTCAGGAGATCAATGCCAGCCTGAGCTACATGAAATTCTACCTCAATAAATAATTTAAAACTAAATGTAGGTGGGCGTTGGTGGCACACGCCGTTAATCCCAGCACTCGGGAGGCAGAGGCAGGCAGATCTCTGTGAGTTCAAGGCCAGGCTGGTCGCCAGAGCAAGTGCCAGGATAGGCTCCAAAGCTACACAGAGAAACCCTGTCTCAAATAACAACAACAACAAAAAAAACCTAGATGTAATTTAAATAAAAATGATCACAGGACCCCAGTCATCAGACCTCAAAAGAAAGGCTTCTTCCTACATCTTAAATAACATGTTAACAAACATGTATATTTTACATTTCCTTTTTTTAAAAGTTAATCCTCGAGTCAGCCCATGAGTCCTCAGCATGCCCCACTGACCTGATAAGTGACTGAGTCCTCAAGCCCTGTAGCACCCTAACAGATGGAGTGTAACTCTGTTCCTCTTCTCTCACAAATACCGGAACTGCTGCAATCACCCGAATGAAAACAGTTGTCATATACTCTTTGAACAACAGGTCAGAAAATGTCCGAGAAGGCCACTACCATTACATACCAAGTATCAACTATGGTAGAGCCAGAGCAGTCAGACACAGAAGAAATCCTAAGACATAGTACTTCTTTCAAGAAGAAGTTAAGGCTAGATGCAGAATGGATACGGGCAAAGATGAAGGTAAAAACGACAGTGTGTTGTTGTGTTCACTGGGAACAGGCTTTCTTGCTTTTGTTTTTGGGTCCGGTGACGCACATGCATCATCATCAGACACAAACAAAGAAAAAATGTCACCCATACGTAGAGACCCAGCTGCCTGTGTAGACGGTTGGAGCAGTGGCTGGGGTTTTAGTAGGTCTGGTTGAGCATCTTCTCCCTGTAGGACCTGTATTAAGCAATTAGGTGTAAGGATCAGAATAAAGGGGCTGGAGAGATGGCTCAGAAGTTAAGAGCACCGACTGCTCTTCCAGAGATCCTGAGTTCAATTCCCAGCTACCACGTGGTGGCTCACAACCATCTATAGTGAGATCCGGTGCCCTCTTCTGAACTGCAGGCAGAACACTGTATACATAATAAATAAATAAATAAATAAATATCTTTTTAAAAAGGATTAGAATAAATAAACTGCATAATGGGACTGCAGAGATGGCTAAGAAAATGTACAGGGGGCCTGAGTTCAAGTCCCAACACCCATATCAGGCAACTCAATTGGCCATAACTCCAGGTCTGGGTATGTCAGATCTCTGGCCTTGTCAGGCACCCACACACGTGTCATTCACACACACACACACACACACACACACACACACACACACACACACACACACACGGTAAAATAAATAAGCAATCTTTAATAATAAACTTAATTTAAAGGTAGTTTCCTTGGTAATAAATTAGAATCAACATTTTAAAGTAGAATCAACAAAATCAGTTCCACAGTGAATAAACACATAAACTGTAGTACATGCACAGAATGGAGCTAGAAGTCTGAGGCAGGAGAATCATACGTAAGAAGTTAGCCTGGGTTGTATATCAAGTGGTCTTTATTATCCCAGAGTTCTGGTGTCTATTTGCCTTAACAAAATTCCCAAAGCTAGAAGTCACATTTAAATGTCATCAGGGAGAACAACTCACATGAACCCCCTCTTAGCTGCAAGGGAGCTGGGCAGGAGACTCCACAGCTAGGTGTCCAGAGTGGAATTTCATCAGTTTGCACTCAGAGGAAAACCAGCTAGCAGTGTTCACACAATCCTTGAGGGAGAGAATGGGAAAGCAGCACTGTACACCATGGTGCATCTTCCGACCTCCATACAAGCTCCACACCCTCCATCTCCATCCTACATGTACAAGGGAGATGTAGGCAACCCAACCCAAGCCAAGCAAACTTCTGCACACAGGGGAAAGGGCTCTCTAGGTTACACAGATCGTGATAGCTTAGACGCCTTGCTGGATCTTGGCTCCCTCACTCCCCCACCCCTGGTCTCACTTCAATAAACTAAAGGAAACATTCTCCAATTTTAGCCTAATCATCTCACAAAGCCTTTCTAAACACCCACTGGGTACCTGCAATGACTGGGCACACAATAGCCTACTAAACAAATATCAGCAAGTGTTCATATAAACTAGGTCCTCCAATGCATTTTAATTAATAACAACGATGGTGTCACCAAACGTACCATATCCATTGCCAAACGTAAGAACACTTACATAACTCCAACATCAAAGAAGAAATCATATTGGTCCTTGAAAATATAAAGATGAAAATGAAATGGTTTCACTCCTGGTAAACAGCTCAGACAATATCTGGACCTTATTATTTTAACTGCTCATAAAATGCAGGAAGAGGGCTGGAGGGATAGCTCAGCCGTTAAAGGCTAGGCTCACAACCAAAATGCAGGAAGAAGCGGGGGAAGAATCATGAAGAAGGCTGAAAATCCAAATGTTAGCATTCAGATCTAGGAAAGAAACTTACAAGGCATAAACAAAGAACTGGAACATATAAAACATGAACCAGTGTATAGAAAAAAAAAAAACTAGTAAAGCAAGCAGGCTTTCTGGCAAGGTTGATCCAGGGGAAAAAAGTTTTTAAGTATAAAAAGAATGAAGGCATAAGGATAGGGGAAGTCGAGATTTTTTTTAAACAGTATATGCAAGCTTTGTATGGCAATAAATACAATGTTTTGCATAAAATGATAATTTCCTAGAAAAATATCATTTACTAAAACTAATTCAAGAACAAGGTTTTAAAAACCTAAATTTACCAATGTTACAGGATGGGTTGTGTTCCCTTAAAGGGACATGTTAATGTCCTAACCTCCAGTGCCATAGAGTATGGCCTCAGCTAGAAAAAGCATCCCTGGGGATGTAATTAGGCAAAGATGAAGGCTTATTAGAATAGTGAACGAGTAGATAGGTCCCTATCCACTTAAGAGAACCCGTGAAGAACCCATTACCGCACAGAAACAGAGTCAGAGACTGGGGTGACATGTGCCGGAGATAGAGGGATCGCCACGCCTTCCTCACAGGTTTGAGAGACCTAATCCACATCTTCTTTTCACTCATGTTGCCTTTGCAATGGTGAGAGCATATTTCTTCTTTTAAGACTTCTTTACACGTATGAGTGATTTGCCTACACATATGTATGTGTACCAAGTGTGTGTCTGGTGCCTGTGGAGGTTAAAAGAGGTTGATATATCCCCTGGAACCAGAGTTACAATTAGTTGTGAACCACCATGCGGGTTCTGGGAATGAACCTGGGCCTCTGCAAGAGCAACTAGTGCTCTCAACAGCTAAGCCACCTTTCCAAGCAAGGTAGCATATGGGTGCTGATTGCAAGTAGAGGCGGGAGCTGAGTATGCTAGTGATCCCACCTCTCCCTAAAGGACAGCTGTTACCTGCCTGCTTTCCCTGTCTCTTCTCAGGCACATCAAAGTGATGGAAAATTAATTGCCTACCACAGTGGGAGGAATTTCCGTATTCTTTTTCCTAATGGCACAGGCCAGATTTAGTATCCACTGGGGAAGAAGGAATGCTCATGTTGACACCTAAAATGTTCACAATTCAGGCCTGGCATATGTGTTTTGACTGAGAATTGTGTCCTCTTTGGTGCCTAACTTTTCTCTGGGAGAGAGGGGCTGACCCAAGAAACTGCTTGCGCCTTAACCAACTCGCAGCTATCCGTCAGGGAACCTGGCTCTGCTCATCACCTGCAAAGGAGTTGCCAAGTTCACATACATTGTTCTGGAAGACTGTAAAGAAAGAAAGATCCGAGGCCTTGTCACCAACTCTGGCCATGCCACCTTCTACAAAGAGAATGGAGGGATCTGGTAAGTTGGAGTCTTCAGACACCACCACCTGAGCCATGTGGAAGCTATATGATGGAAGGCTGCTCCCTGTCTCCTAATTTGTGCATGCTGGAAACATGAGAAGGACTATTACAGACCCTGCCTTCAAGAGAAAGTGTCATAGCATCCCCCAGAGTAAAAGAGCAATCATGGCCTCTATGACCACAGGCCACTTTACCTCTAAACTTTACCTCTAAACACCTTCCAAGGGCCCAACCTTGTGAGAACTGCCCCCAAAAGGCCCTGGGACCCTCTATTTTAGGAGCCTGGGAGTAGGGTTTTGGGATACACACATATACAGAATCCAGAGTCAAAAGACATATTCTAAATATTTCATTAAGATCAAACTTGTTTCTTAAGTCTCTAGTTCTGGCAATGGTGAAAGCTTTCTTTCCAGTTCAAGGTTACTAGGTCTCCTCAAGCTATCCTCAGCCTCCCTTAGGTACTCAGTATTTTTTTTTTTTCGAGACAGGGTTTCTCTGTGGCTTTTGGAGTCTGTCCTGGAACTCACTCTGTAGACCAGACTGGCCTCAAACTCACAGAGATCTGCCTGCCTCTGCCTCCTGAGTGCTGGGATTAAGGCGTGCACCACCACTGCCTGGCACTCAGTACTTCCTCTTCCAGCTGAAGCGATTACAGAGTAGAAGAAACCTATTATCTTGGGTTAAGGCATTTTCATCAAAACCAAATGCACTTTTATTTCTAAAAGTCTACGCTCATGTCCCCCCCACCCCCACCCCGGCCTTGGCTTGAGTACTACCTGCTCTCACGTGTGTAGAACATGCTGTCAAAGTCAGGTCCTGGATACAGGAATCACAGGTCCTTGAGGCAAGAAATGCAGTTAATGACTGCAAATCTTGTCTCGTGACATGCAGTCGGGTCTCTTCTCTCTAAAGTTTTAAGGTCAGAAGAAAACTTGAAGAAATCCAGGACCCATGTAGGTGAAGAAACTTGGACCCAAAGGATGACAGTCACTTGCCCTGAGCTGTATGTAGAAATCAATGCAAAATCAATGCATAAGATCTTAGGGCATTTAGTCTTCCTGATAAAAAGTGAGTTTAAAAGTCATCGAATAACAACCTCAAGGTCTGTCAACACACAAAGGGCAGAGAGTCAGAGCAGGCGTGAGAGCTGACCCCATCCTCAAGGCTCTCTCTGTGGGCCTGGGATCACTAGGATGGAGAAGAATGCTGCAAAGCTCTCAAGGGAGCAGGGAGTGGGGAGTGGGGAGCAGGAAAGGAGGCTTGCTGCATGAGGCCAAGGGAAGCCATGACTGAATCTCAAAACAGAGCCTGGATCTGGATGTACATTCCTTGTTGGAACCTCTCTATCCCACTGTCTTAGTTAGGGTGTAAAACACCATGACCAAAAAGCAAGTTGGGAAGTGTTTATTTCATTTACATGTATGTAACTGTTCATCAAAGGAAACCAGGACAGGAACTCAAACAGAGCAGGAACCCAGAGGCAGGAGCTGATGCAGAGGTCATTGAGGTCATGCTGCTTACTGACTTGTTCCTCATGGCTTGCTTAGCCTGCTTTCTGGTAGAGCCGAGGACCACCAGCCCAGGGATGGCACCACCCACAATGGACTGGGCCCTCCCCCATCAATCACTGATTAAGAAAATGCCCTACAGGCTTGCCTACAACTGGATCTTATGGAGGCATTTTCTCAGTTGAGGTTCCCTCCTCTTAGATGACTCTAGCTGTGTCAAGTTGACATAAACTATCCACTAAACCTTGTAGGCTTAAGCAGAAAAGGGAAAGGAGGAGGGTCAGAGGAGGCCAGGGGCCATGACTAAAGAGGGTCTCTTGCACCCAGATGTGGTTTCTGACCCATCTCTGTCCCCCAGGGTGAGCCTGAGCAAACTCCTGGGCTACTACTTCCCCAAAGACAAATATCAGAAGGCCTGGAACTGGTGGAACCTGAGCATCCACGTACATGCACCCCCCATCATGTGCCTCACTTTGAAACTCAACAAGTACATCCATGTACAAATAAGAAGCCAGGACAAGGTCATCTTCTGCTTCTTTGCCCCCAAACAGAAGAGGATTTATTTAAACATGGGCACCAAGTACAAGGTAAAGTCTTCACTCCCCCAACCGGCAATCAGAGAAAGGGAATATAAGAAGAGATCAGGGTGAGGGAAAATATACAGTCCCCAGGAACCTACTCTAGGCAACCCACTTCTTCCAGCTAGACTGCACCTCTTGCTTTTCATCACCCCCAATAACAATGCCATCCTATTCAGAATCCATCAAGGGATTAATCCATATCTAAAAACACTGTCACACACAGAGAAGCGTGCTTTAGTAATCTACAAGGTGAGTCGCAGTCCAATCAGGATAACAAGCCTGTCTTAGTGTTTCTGTTGCTTGACAGCAGGTTGGGGAAGAAAGGGTTTATTTGGCTTACACTTCCATATCACTATTCATTATTGAGGTTAAGCCAGGACAGGAACTCAAAAACAGGGCAAGAATCTGGAAGCAGGAGCTGATGCAGAAGCCACAGAGGGGTGCTGCTTACTGGCTTGCTTCCTCTGGCTTGCTCAGTCTGCTTTCTGATAGAACCCAGAACCACTAGCCCAGGGATGGAACCATCCACAATGGACTGGGCCCTTCCCCCATCAATCTTTAATTAAGAAAATGTCCTACAGGCTTACCTACAGTCCAAGTTTATGGAGGTATTTTCTCAATTGAGGTTCCCTCCTCCCAGATGACTTTAGCCTGTGTCAAGTCGACAAAAAACCACCCAGCACAACAATCAAGGTTAACCGTTGTCTTAGGGTTTCAATTGCTGTGAAGACACACCATGATGATGGCCACTCTTCTAAAGGAAAACATTTAATTGGTTCAGAGGTTTAGTCCATTGATGGCATGGTGTACAGGTAGACATGGTGTTGGAAAAGGAGCTGGGAGTTCTACATCTGGCTGGGCAGGCAGAAAAGTGAGACACACTGGGCCAAACAGAGCTTCTGAAACCTCAAAGCCCGCCCCCAGTGACACACTTCCTTCAACAAGGCCACACCCACTTCAGCAAGACCTAAAGGTGCCACTTCCTATGAGCCCATGGGCTCCATTTTCATTCAAACCACTACAATCATATTGCCTTCCTTTTCCTCACACTCAGCCACATACACATGCATTCATGTAACATGCCAGAGCCTCAGGATTGCACGCCAGAGACACCAACACCACAAAGAGCTTCCTGTGGAAGTGTGCTGTCAATACACACTGCTTCGCTTGTTCACAGCTGCTCTGTCAGAAATTAAGGCCGGATGCAAGGGAGAGATTTATCCTCTTTGGTCCTCCCCAAGAGCACTGTTCTTACATACACACCCACAAATGGTACCGAACAGGGCAGACACAAGAGCTGGCTCAACCCTAGTTCCACTGGAAAGCAGCGTCACCAGCAGGTCATGTGACCATAGAAGGCCAAGAAGGGTACAGGTAGCAGGGCTAGGGAACGAGATCTGCTCTGGAGGGCAAAGGTTCCAGAGATATTCATCAGGGCCACAGTGGGGCTAAGCCCTGGGTAGGGGTACAGCATCTGAGCAGCACTGATCCTCACCCAATCTTCTATGCACCCCACAGTTTGTAAGCCTGAAACTGCTTGAAGCCATGAAGAATAAATCAATCCTGGAGACAGACCCTGGCCCGACATCGTGGAAGATCCAGGTCCTTCTGGGCAAAATAAGTAGTAGTCTGAAGCTCCTGACCCTGTCTGACTTGGAACACTTCACAAAGCTCATCAAGTTGGGACTTCGTAACCTCCGTAAGAGGAAAGCTCGAATCTTGTTTTAGGGTGGCCCCCAAGCCACCTCGTGCCTCCACTGCATATCTTGGGAATTGGGAGACCTCAGGGGTGCAGGCCACCCACAGAGACCTCTTCATGTCTTTGGGAGGCAGCTAGCAGTTCAGGACCTGTCCCAGCTCCTTTGTTTGGGGCCAAAGAGAAAAGGGGGACAGTAAACATGAACAGTGGCTGGTACACAGAAGGCGTAATCGTCAGCCCTGACCTGACTACTGGGAGACACATCATCTCAGTAGCTAACATTGGCCACTATGTGTCCCCTTGCTACCATCCCTGAAGTACAGCAATTCTTCCCTGGCTATCAGTACTTGCTTTCACTGAAGACATGGACCACCAAGCTCTGTCAATCATTACCTGTGTAATGTAGCTTTGTTCCTTAGTTTCTATTTTCTGTAAATGGGCCTAGAAATAGTCCTATGTGACAGAATCAAGAGTATTGAATTCATTCATGCAGATAGTACCCAAGGTAATGAACTCACATATCAAGCATCATTGCAATGACCCCTCCAACAGTGTGCATCTCTTAGTTAAGGCTGGGTGTCTGCATATTTCCCCCAGTTTACAGAGTCAGCCCCCATCCTCTGCCCTGTGTCATTTTTGTCATGATTCTAACGACCTAATTTACCATGTGCCATGAGCTAGTTGGGCCACGTGGCTCTGTGACACAGGCGGTATTTCTCTTGAAGACACGGAGGCCAAGCGAGACACAATGACTCCCTTTACAGCCTATAAGCTACCTGTCTACTAAGTGACATCACCCTTGTAACTACATGGTTATTTGTATAATTCCCCATGTCAGAGTATCTCCAAACCTCAAGGTTACCTCAGAACACTTCTACCCTTCATCTACTTTGTTGCGGGACGCACACCCATCCCGGTCCATCCTGGGCCCCCCTGGAAGACTGTCCCATCCATCAAGCTTCCGCTGACATTGTACAAGTCACACTCCACTCCTGGCTTTGGCACATTTGGGGAACAGTACAGACCACTGTTGCTCATGCCAAGCTGAGATTGCAATAGAAAACACTCACTCTGGGATCCCACTGTTTTCTGCACTGCCTTGAAGACTGTCACTAACACTGACCCCATCACGGATGGCCACTTGTCCATGCGGCTCTGTCATAGCAAAAGAAAACCTAGACAGAAACCCAACACCAGCCCGTACTTAGCTCCCTAAACAAGAAGCTGAACTGAGGCCCATAGAGCCCACAAGTTCACCCCTCAGATAGCTAAGGGCTCTTTGGGTCACTGGTTAGTCATTAACTGGGTAGCTAGACCAAATCGGGAAATGTGTCATCACCTAGCTAGAACACTCTGCTGAGCTGGCAGTGACCTCTAGATCAGAGCCCAGACGGCCCTGTCCTGGGATGCCTGACTTGTCCTAGACAGGCTTCCTGTACATCTCAGTTCACAGGCTTCTGTCCTCTGTGCACTCTTGAAGACCCTAGTGGTCTCTGGCTCACCCTGCCTCCGTTAGACACCTTTGGTCCAATCCAGTGTGGCAAGGGAGGGTGGAATTATGTAGTGTAAACAAAGCTCCATGATACCTAAGCATGGCATTTGAGGTTTATGGTCTCCCACAAAGTGCCTTGTGGGGTACCCTTTCTTCCCAGAATGACCTTATCACCAGGCTCAACCAAGAAAACCAAACACCTCTCAGCCCAGCCTGGCAATTAGCCATTGTCTAGTGTGAGCAGTACCACCTAAGTGCCAGCTCTGTGTCCTGCTCCCCTGATGAGTACCCACTGGCTGCCACCCACTTTCACCAAATGTCACACCCCCAACCCATCCCCTGAGCAGATGAAGTCGAACTAAAGAAGACTCTCAGAGGAAGCACACAGTCACTTCTGTGGCACTGACACACCTTCCTGGTGAGTGGTGTCACTGTAGAAACAGAACGCTGTTGCAAGGTAATGAGCTGAGACAAATATGGCACTGTGTTGGCATCCCCCTACACACCAGCATCACCATTTTAGTGACGACTTCTTGGCACTACATCTCTGCTCCACGTCTGTAGAGCCCTTTTCTCTCACTGCCATGCTTTGGACTTCAGTGTGCCCCTTGTCTCATCCTTAACTGTATCAAAGGCCTGGTCCCCCGCTGATGCACGATTGGGAGTTAGAGGAACTTCAGAGGTGGGGCCAGTGGGGTAACTGGGATGTGTCCTCTAAAGAGATAGATATTGGATACCGGGCCCCTCCCCTCCTCACTTCCTTGATGCTTGACATAAGCGGTTTGGCTCCACTATTATTTATTTCCCACCGTGACACTCAGACCACCACAGGCCCAGAGAGACGGAACCAAGCATGGGCTGAAGCCATGACCCCAAATAATTCCTCCTTTTCCATTGTCTCCAGACCCCCACACTCATCAGGACAACCTAAGGGTCTCCAGACATTGTCTCTATCCCCTGATGAAGATGGGGGTTATGGAGTTATCTCCACTGCTGTAGTTCCTGGCAACCTGCTGTGTTGGATGCAGGGGCATTGGTTAGTTTGTTATGGCCAAGTGCTTGTCTGCCTGGACTAACGTTTCATTTATTTGGGAAGACCAAATATACTATAACCTTAGAGAGTCTAATTTACTAATGGGAAAACTCAGGAAAATCCAGGCTTTGGTTCATCATATAAGATAGCTAGCCTCATTAAAAAGGAGGAGGAAGAGGAGGAGGAGAAAAGAAGGAAAGAGGGAAGAAGAGAAGAAGGGAGGGAGGGAGGGAGAGAGGAAGGAAGGAAGGAAGGAAGGAAGGAAGGAAGGAAGGAAGGAAGGAAGGAAGGAAGGAAGGAAAAGAGTTGTCACCAAAAGTTGAGGGTGGTCAAATCAGAAGGAACTGTAAGTCAAGTGGTTTCCAGGAAAGCATGAGAAACTGAGTTCAACTCTCCAGCACTCACATAAATACTAAGATGTCCTGGCCCAGCTATAATCCCAGCACTCAGGAGGCAGGGAGAAAATTCCCCAGGTAAACTAGATGGCCAGACTAGCCAAACCAGGGAGCTCTGGGTTCAAGGAGACCCTGTCTCAACTCCTAAGATGGAGAGTGATCAAGGAAGGCTCCTGGGATAAGTTTGGGCCTCCACACACACAAGCAAGCATGTGTATACACATGCATGCATGCCATACACAGGCATGCACAAAAGAGAAGGGGGCTCTGAAGAGGTGTGGCACCCAAGTAAAACGTGCAAATAGACCTTGAAAAATCTGTAAGATTGTAGAGAGGCAGTAAGTAAGTTGACATATAGACTACATATTAGATACTTAATTTGTTTTTTACGTGTGATAATACCGGGACTTGCAAAAGAGTATTCTCATTCTATAAGAGATTGATGCTAAAATATTTAGGAGCAAAAGTGTTTTAAGTACAACTTGAAAACACTTCAGCAAATGAATGTGTAGTTCTACACACTAATTAAAACTCAATTAAGTGTGTAAAAGAGCCCAATCTGGTAAGAAAACTTGTCTTAAAATATACATAGAAAAATCTGGAGGCTATATGCCAAACACTTAATGGTTTGCTCTGGGAAAAGGAGCTCATTTATGAGACTGTCATGCTTTATATGGGAACTCAAGCACTACAGATGACAAGCTGGGAGCATATCTGTGTGACTGGAAAATGTCTCTTCTTTAACTTTATTTTTTTTAAGGGAAAAAAAAAGATATTGGTCAGGTGACTGTATAAACAATGCCTCTGTGCTGGTTTCTACTGGCCTCACCCATTTCAGAAAGAAGGGTTCCCACTGAAGCAAGATGTGGTAGCACGCACCTGTACAAAGGCCAAGGCAGGATGACTACTGAGCCGAAGACTAGCCTCGGCTACATAGTATAAAACCCTGTCTCAATCTAGAAATCAGAAAGCACTGGGGGGGGGGGGGGGGGAGGCGGAGTCCCCCTGTCCTGAATAGGATCCATCACCAACAACTCCAGGTCCCTATAACCCAGTGGTTCTCAACCTTCCTAATGCTGCAACCTTTAATACAGTTTCTCATGTTGTGCTGACCCCCCAACCATAAAAAATCATTTTCATTGCTACGTCATAACTCTAATTCTGCTACTGTCATAAATCGTAATGTAATTATTTTTGGAGACAGTGGCTGGCCAAAGGGGTGGAAACCCACAAGTTAAGAACTTTTAAAGTTCCCTTTAAAGATTGACTGTATATCCTATTTATAAGGTACCAGCAGGGGAGAATTTAAAGATCTGGGATTGTTAAACCAGGGAGAAGATACAAATTTGTTTGTATTGTTATTACAACACTACTTAATTTCAATGCAACCATCTGACAATACTTGGGAAATTGGCAGTTTTACAAAAAAAAAAAAAAAAAAAAAAAAAGTTTTTCACTCTGGTTTGGATCGGGAATGTCTCCCAAGTGTCCATGTGTTAAAAACTTGTTCTCCAGCCCAGCCCATGGTGCTACAAAGGTAGTGTTTACAGGGAAGGCCTTCTTATCAGAGGTGGGCTCTTGAAGGGGTTATGGGACCACACACACACACACACACACACACACACACACACCCTTGACTTCCTTTTTTTATTCCCAGATTTGCAAGGGCAGCCTTGCTGTCCCATGCTCCCCTGCCATGGCAAGTGGCCTCACCACAAGCCCCTAAGCAATGGGGACTGACATATACATTGTACTGCTGATTATATTGCCATGTGCTGTGCAAGTCCTCCCTCATCTCAGCATGTTTATTTTACATCAAGTCCCCCAAACGGTCCTAGGTCAGGCTGGCCCTATCAGGATGATCCCTCTGGCTCTGTAACAGGGACAGGGAAAACAGCAAAAAGGTGAGCCTTTCTGACAGAGGTTACTATTGCGTGCCCTGTGTATAAAATGCCTGCCTGGGAAGGGGCAGCTAGAAGTTCACCCTGGAGGAGAAAGCTCAGGTTGGTTAGCAACCCTGCTTGATTTCTGCTGGCTGTTGGAAGCCCGATCAGGCTAATCCAGTTTGTGCAGAATCTCATGAGTGTTTGATTTGACCATGCTTTGTGT